TTATAGTCCTATTTTGAGTAGCTTTTAGAGAATTAAAGATTTTTAGATTTTCATATGGGCTCTCATTGAAAAATGGCTGGGAGACAGGTATCCTCTGTGCTCCCATCAAAAAGACAGAGAAGTTTGTCTTCTTACCATGATTGTCAGTAAGATTAATTGCTAGCAATAATAGTAGAAGAGTTAGAACTGCAACAACAGCTCAGTTGTGTATTTAGGCATACAAGGAGTTCAGTGTTGCTTATATGTGACGTATAATGCCTGAAGGGGTAGGAGATGAGGCCAAGCAATGTGGACTTTATCCTTTGGTGACAGGTAAAGTTAAACAAGGATTTAAAAAAATTCTTAAGATACTTTATTTCTGTTTCCTGGAAAATTGACATAATACACTATGCTAGTCCCCCATTGTGGCTACAACAAATGACCACAAACTTAACAGCTTAATATGTCAAACACTTATAATTTTATAATTCTGTTTTTCACAAGTGAATGCACAGAGTTGCTTGCCTGGTTTCTCCGCTTCAGATCTTATAGGCTAATATCAAGGAGTCACCCAGCAGAGCTCACGTCTTGGAGGCTCTAGAAAGACTCTACATCCAGGCTCATTCAGGTCGTTGGAAGAATCAAGTTCCTTGTGGTTGTAGGACTGAAGTGTATATGTTCATGGTTGCTGTCAGCTGAGGGCCACCCTATCTCCTAGGGACCTCTCTCTGATCCTTACATAGGGACTGGTACATCTCAGAGCCAGTAATACCACAATATGTCTTTCTCATGCTTGGGGACTGACTTTCCCTTCTACCACATCTCTCTTGCCTGCTCCTTAAAATTCATCTTTCTGACTACAGCCAGAGAAAGTTATCTGTTTTTAAGGGTTTATGTGATTAGACTGTGTTACTTGGATAATCCCAGAAAGGTCCCTCTCTTAAATTCTGTAATCTTTCTTAACATCTTCAAAGTTATTTTGCCATGTAAAATAAGAAATTCAGTTCTTAGGAATTAGGGCATGGGATCTTTAAGTGGGGTCATTCCGCCCACACATATTTCTTGTCTTGTTAGAAAGAAAACCCTCAGAACAACCAGAAAATTTTGAAATAAGTAAATAATCATGTAATATCTGTAATGTAAAACATGCTTCCTTAGAATGGCACCCTTATGCACTGCTCAACCATGTGTAGCAGCCCTGACCTACCGGCGGTTCAACAAAGTCTTAGATGTGTCCATGAAACTAGGGGACTGGGATGCCTGTTGGAGTCTTGGCTTATACAGTTACCTTCCATTCTGGTGATGTTTCGTAACACAACTTGCCAAATTATTAATACACAGGTAGTAAATGGCGGTCTTTTTGCATGAGAGCAGAAGAGTAATAGGTGGAATCAATAACAGCAGTAAATTAACAAGTAGTTCTTAGAATCTAATGACATTTGTTGGACACTCCTTATGTTCCTGTTTTACAGGAGATAAATCTAGGGTCCAGAGCAGGGATGCGACTTCCCCAACGTCTCATAGCTATACAGCTAGTAAATAGTGGAATCAATTTCTGAGCCCAGGTGTCTGTACTATTTCCCTTCTGTTGGTCACTGGAACTAAAATTGTTTAGTGAATCTTTCAGTTTTCATAGTTTGTACTGAAACCAGATTTCAGAGCTTTTGAATCTTTTAAATCATAATCTTGCACATATCCTAGCTTTTTTGATAGATAATATGATTTTTGATGTTCTTTTATTACTATTTTTTCCATTTCAAAATAACGAAGGATGGGTTAGCATATTTATTTCATTTATTGCTTCCCTTCTCTATTTTCTTAACCTCATTAATAATATAAATTCATTTCTAGTGTATGCTCTGAGCTGTTAGAAACTTGCCTTTTATAAAGCTTTTCCATGGGCAGTTATTCTAATTGAAATAATGGGACTCTGTACAAGAAGGAAAATAAATGTGACTAACTCTGGGGATCTAGGAGTTCTTTGCTTTGCACTTTAGCACCACTGTTCATTTTTCTGAAGCTACTAATTGTTTCACCTTGCAGCATTAATGCTGTTGGAACAGTGCAGTTTCAAACTTTTATCTCCCTTTTACACTCAGGAGAATTAAAAGCCACAGTATCTCATTCTAAGAGGTGGGCTACCCAAATTTTCTAGGCTGAGAAAATAAAACCTAAAGGGATAAAGAGAATAGTAAAACAACTTTCATTTCAGCATCTAAATTGTGTTAGGATGGCTTAACTCCTTTCCCACGCTTGGAGAAATGTATCTGTTCAGTCTTAGTTGAAAGATAGTGCACTTTCCATTGGAGCATTTGCTTTATATTTGTCACTTTTAAAGCAGTTTTTGTTTTTTTTTTTTTGGTAATTTTGCTATAAGAATGATGCAGTTAGCATCTGTTGTCAGTGTACTGTAGTGGAGCGCACTAATGTTCTACATCCCTCCTCTTTCACAGAGTACGATTTTGGAAGCAAAGTAATTTTCAGCGATCTGAAAGCCTGTTTGATATATAAAAGGAGTTACCAGAATGACTAACATAACCATTCTTATTTTTTCCCGTCCTCAAAATGGTACTCCTGCCCCCTCCTCCACCCCCGTGTTTCCCAGGATGTGCTGAGTTTTCTTTCTACTCTGGAAAATGCTGAGAGAAAGAGAAACTAAATATATGGAGCAGAGAAAAAACTTATCTGAATATTCTTCAAAATACTTTCCTTGTAGTCCTTCAAATTTAAATTTCTAAAAGTATTTACTGTTATGTAAAAGATGTAAACTTATTTTGATCCTCTTGCAAATATTATTGTCTTATCCAGTGTTATGAAGAAATAAGAAGAGAAAAATCACTGATTTCTCAGGACCTAAAGATTACTCTTTTAAGCCTTCCTTCCTTCTTTCTTTCTTTCTTTCTTATTTATTTATTTATTTATTTTTTGAGATGGAGTCTCGCTCTTGTCAGACAGCCTGGAGTGCAATGGCATCATCTTGGCTCACTGCATCCTCTGCCTCCTGGTTTCAAGTGATTCTCCTGCCTCAGCCTCCTGAGTAGCTGGAATTACAGGCATGCCCTACCACACCTGGCTAATTTTTGTATTTTTAGTAGAGGCAGGGTTTCACCATGTTGGCCAGACTGGTCTCAAACTCCTGACCACAGGCGATCTGCTCCTCTTGGTCTCCCAAAGTGCTGGGATTACAGGCGAGAGCCACTGTGCCTGGCCTCATTCAGTTAATTTATTGAGAACCTGCTGTGTCCTAGATACTACTGACCACTATATGTACAGTGTCACTTTTTAATATAGCTTTTATACAGTTATTTTAAAAAGAAATTTAGTAAACAAGAAAAAATATTTTATATTTACCTGCATATTTACTATTTCTTTCCTTTTGACAATCTGTTTCTCTATAATGTCATTTTCATATCATCTTGATTTTTGAAGGGTATTTTTGATGGATATGGAATTCAGAGTTAACAAGCTTCTTTCAGCACCTTAAAAATGTAGCTCCATTGTCTTCTAACTTACATTATTTTTAGAAATGAGAAGACAATGAAAATTTTTGTCTGTGTTTGCATATTTTTATTGTTTATTTTTACCTTTGGCTGCTATTAACATTCTATATATCACTGGTTTTCAGTTATTGATTATGACAATGTCTTGATTTTTTTCCCCCTGTTTATCCTGCTTGGGATTCATTTAGCTTTCTGCATCTGTAAGTTACAGTTTTTACCAAATTTGGAATTTTTTAAGTCCTTATTCAAGTACGTTTTCTTCCTCTGTGACTCCAATATATGTTTGTTAGAATGCTAGATACTGTTCCACAGGTCAGTGAGATTCTGGGTTTTTCCTCAGATTTTTTTTCCCATTTGTCTTTCATTTTAGATAGTTTATATTGCTGTGTCTTCAGATTCGTGGATCTTTTCTTCTACAGCTAAGCTTATTTGTTCAGTTTTTCATTTCACATATTGTATTTGTCTGCTTTAGAAGCCATTTGGTTTCTATTTTGTATTTTCCATTTTTCTCATCATAGTAATATTTTCAGTGAAATCTTTAAAAATATTTGTAATAGCCTTAAAAGGCTATTTGTCTGCTACTTCTGTCTTCTCTGTCATTTCTGGGACTCTTTGTCTATTAGTCATGTTTCTCCTTGTTAGGTTTCTGTGTCTTTATGTGTAGTAATTTTTTATTGCATGCTGTGAATGCTATGTTGTTGTTGTGTACTTGTGTCTGTGTGTATTTTAATTTTTTTTTTTGAGGTGTGTGATTTTTTTGTTATTTTGGAAAGCTTTTAAATTACTTGTGCATCAGCGTAATCATTTTTAAGGGTCATTTTAAAGCTTTATTTCAGCAAGTATATAGTAGTCTTTACTTTGGGGCTAATTTAACCCTCCTACTAACTCATGTTTTTTTTTCCTGAGCTCTCTACTGAAAGCCCTGAATGTTCAGTGAAGCTGCTTAGAACTCACATGTCTCCCAGCCCTATGCGAGCTCTGGGAATTGCATCACTTACAGCTTCCTGATAGTTGTTCTCTGCCTGGCCTCATGGAATCTCACACTAAACATGTATAGCTTATTATTTATCTAAAGACTCATTGAGATTCCATGCAGCTTTATGGAGTTCTATTAATATCTCTGCCTACTTTCCTCCTTGGAGGAACTCTTAGAAACCTTAGTTTCCTCAGGCTCCCCAAACCGATCTCTATCTTCTTAACTCAGTGTGAATGCCATTTTCTGCTTAGGTTCCTCCTCCTCATCCTTCCATCTATATAGTACCTTTAGGCAGAAATCTAGAGTATTTCAGGGCTTATTCATTTTCCTTCTCTCAGAGATCATAGTCCTTCCCTGCCTGCTGTGCAGTATCTGTATATAATTGTAGCATATATCTTACTCAGTTTTCTTGATGTTTATAGCAGAAGGGTAAGTTCATTATGGCTGGAGGCAGAAGTCCCTGCTAGTTTAATTTTAATTCTGATTAAATTATGTGAAGTGATACAGCTATATTGCTAATCAACTGTATCCTTTTAAAATTTCAGGAGCAGCATTTCTTGCTATTACCACTATCTATGCTGAGACTGGTTCAGGTTTTGTAGTACCAAGTGCTTCTGCCAAAGCAGGTGTGGAAGCCATGAGCAAGTAAGTACCTCCTTGTCAATCCTGTTGCTGAACGTAACTAATAGTTTGGTGGTGCAGGGAACTAAATTCTTGCTTTCTGGTGTCCGTCCAGAGAAAAGTAAAACAAAGACTTGGATTCACCATGAGACACACATTTTATCTCCCAGATAAGTCTTATTTGTCTATAGCAGCATTGTCCTGTGGAACTTTCTGCAGTGATGGAAATGTTCTGTAAATATGCACTATCCAATAGCCACATGCAGATATTGAACCCTTGGAATATCCCACTATGACTGAGAAACTAAATTTTAAAAATTAATAGTTGTATATGGCTAGTGGCTATGTATTAGACACCACAGGACTATAGCTTTTTTGCTCTCCCAAAGATCTTTATCAGTGCCATCCCTAACCCCTCTCATAAGCACATCTTTATTCTTTTATTGCACATACTGTTTAAGGTTAATGGGACTAACACAGACTATGAGCACTTGCCAAGTCCAGTGGCCTTCTCTCAGCAGAGTATAACTGCTTTTTTTTTTTTTCCTCTGAGACAGGACTTCACTCTGTTGCCCAAGCTGGACTGCAGTGGCGCAATCATAGCTTATTGCGGCCTTAATCTCCCAGACTCAAGCGATCCTCCCACCTTAACCTCCCAAGTAGCTGGGACTACAGGGAGGTGCCACAGTGCCTGGCTAATTTTTAAAAATTGTAGAGATGAGGTCTTCCTGTGTTGCCCAGACTGGTCTGGAACTTCTGACCTCAAGAAATCATCCTGCCTCAGCCTCCCAAAGTGCTGGGATTACAGGCATGTGCCACCATACCCAACCATGATTGCTTTTTGAATTTGTTCTCCATTGTCTTTGTTAAAATGGGGATTCTCATCATTTCATTGCTTGTCTGGCTTGCTGTAATCACGGTATATTTCTTTGCTACCAATCTCTTCCCCCTGTATTTTTTATTCACATTTTCACCAGAATTATCTTTCTAAGAACATGTGTGTCTGCTCATGACACTCCCCAGCTAAAAATCTTAGATCATTTCCTGTCACTCTTTGGAATAAAAGCCAGAACTCACTATGGCATTCTAAACAGACTTGTCTCTGGCCATTGTTAATTAATTTATTTATTCAATAAGTATTTATTGTATACCTTATATGTGCTTCGTCCTAGGGATATGATAGTGATGGAAATAGAACAGTCCTCATTGTCAGCTGAGTTTAAATTTTTTACTGTTCCCTTTATTATTTCCATGCTTTAATTTCCATTAACTGTTCCATGTTTCCCTAAACGTACCATACAGCTTTCATATGTCTATGCCTGAGTTATATTGTTGTTGGAATTTTGCTGTGATGTTTTGCTTACTTCCTTTGGGATGTTTTCTCTGTAATCATTTCCTCCTCTCTGCCTTAAAACTTTGTTTAATCCAATCTAGTGAGAGGACAAACACTAATAAGTAGATTCTAAAATGAAGGTAATATACCAATATAGCAGAGGCAGAGAGCAGGGCATGGCCGGCTGGAGTGCAATGGTGCGATCTTGGCTCACCACAACCTGTACCTCCTGGGTTCAAGTGATTTTCCTGCCTCAGCCTTCCAAATAGCTGGGATTACAGGCATATGCCACCACACCTGGCTAATTTTGTACTTTTAGTAGAGATGGGGTTTCTCCGTTAACATTAAGCAATCTGACTTCCCCACTTCAGCATGAGTTCTGTGAGAGAAAGGGCCATATGTTTGCATCCTCATTACCCAGAAGGTTCTGGTCCATAGCTGGTGCTCCATGCTTGTTCAGCTGAATTGTGGTACTCTTCTTTTAGTAGTCCCAGAGCATTTTTAATATTTAAGTCAGTAAATACACATTAGTTTGAGACAGAAAGAAATATTTATTCACAAGCTGAATCTTAGTCTGAATAGAGATAATTCCCATTTTTAAGGTCATGTGGTGTTGGAAATAAAGGATGAGAACTTGACTATTTTGGCAGCATTTGTTCAATGTCAATATTTGTTTTGTGAGAACCTTTCAATGTTGTTAGAAGTTTTCATCTCATGTCCTTTAAGAACTGATTTGGTGCTGCTTTTATTGTATTCCTGCATATAATAGATGCTCAGTAAACATGTGCCTTCCTTTACAGCTTGAGTTGCCATCAACCTTCTTCTCATACTTTATAGTACACAGTCATACTAAATAAGGCATTGTAGGTTCCCAAATTCTACATGTTGTTTGGGCCCTTGCCCTTTACTCATACTGACCCATATGCCTTGGCTGTCTTCCTTTCTCCATCTGTATTAGTCCGTTCTCACGCTGCTACGAAGAAATACCTGAGACCGGGTAATTTATAAAGAAAAGAGCTTTAATTGACTCACAGTTCCACATGGCTAGGGAGGCCTCAGGAAACTTACAATCATGGCGGAAGGCACCTCTTCACAGGGCAGCAAGAGAGAGAATGAGTGCCATGTGAAGGGGGAAGCCCCTTATAAAACTGTGAGATCTTGTGAGAACTCACTCACTATCGCGAGAACAGCATGGGGAAAACTGCCTTCAGGATTCAGTTTTGTCTACGTGGTCCCACCCTTGACATGTGGGGATTATTACAATTCAGGGTGAGATTTGGGTGGGGACACAGAGCCAAACCATGTCACCATCCTACCTCCTTAATCTGTCAGCTCCTCCTTTCCGCTGCCTTTTGCAGCAAACTCCTAATCCTTCTTCACCCGTCAGCTCAAATGTTACCTCTTCAGAGAAGCCTTCCCTGTCACTCCCACTTAGGTTCTTCTTCTTTTAAGCAGGTATGGCTCACATCACACAATTCCCAGCCTAGTAACTAATTCATTATATAACCAAGCTCACCTCTCTTGAGAGGGTGGGACTGCTCTTTTGAGAGCAGGGACTGACTTTATTTGAGGCTAAACAGTATTTATAGTATTGATACATGGTAAGTATATGATAAACATTTGTTGAATGAACAATAATAATGGCTAACATATTGAATATATTGTTCTTAGCATCTTAACATGCAGAGCTAACTGTATGAGGTAGATTCATTATCAGATTACAGTAGTTCTTCAGTATATCAGCTAGCTTAATGACAGTTGAAAGATCATGCTAGCAATTGAACAAATGTATCTGACACACCTCTGAGCACAGAGAGGATGGCTTTTCCTCTAGGCAGATTTTTTTAACAGGTTGCTCAGTTTTTCATAGGATAATATAGACTCTGCTCAGTACAGTAATTCTATGAAGACATGAAGCAATTTAGAGTAGATACACTATAAATAAATGCCCAGGGTAGCTATGGAATGAAGTTTGTCAAAAACATCACTCAGAGAAGCAATTTTTATGTATGTTCTGTCTGAAAGAGATACAGCCCACCCATCTCTCTAAAATACATTCATGGATTAAGTCAAATTAACAGGCTATCTTTAGAGTACATGTACCCTATTCTGTAGAACTGGTTTCACTGAATTGACCTTTGAAGTGATGCTGTAAGACTGTATTAATGGATGTCTGATAGTTTCATAGAACTTAGCCCATTTTTAAAATTATTATACTTTACATTCTGGGATACATGTGCAGAATGTGCAGGTTTGTTACATAGGTATACATGTGCCATGGTGGTTTGCAGCACCCATCAAGCCGTCATTTACATTAGGTATTTCTTCTAATGCTATCCCTCTCCTAGTTCCCCAACCCTCGACAGGCCCAGTGTGTGACGTTCCCCTCCCTGTGTCCATGTGTTCTCATTGTTCAGCTCCCACTTATGAATGAGAACTTGCGGTGTTTGGCTTTCTGTCCTTGCGATAGTTTCCTCAGAATGATGGTTTTCAGCTTCATCCACTTCCCTGCAAAGTATATGAACTCATCCTTTATTTTGGCTGCATAGTATTCCATGGTATATATGTGCCACATTTTCTTTATCCAGTCTATCATTGATGGGCATTGGGGTTGGTTCTAAGTCTTTGCTATTAAGAACAATGCTGCAGTAAACACATGTGTGCATGTGTCTTTATAATAGAATGATTTATAATCCTTTGGGTATATACCCAGTAATGGGATTGCTTGGTCAAATGGTATTTCTGGTTCTAGATCCTTGAGGAATCGCCACACTCTCTCCCACAATGGCTGAACTAATTTACACTCCCACCAACAGTGTAAAAGTGTTCCTATTTCTCAACATCCCCTCCAGCATCTGTTGTTTCCTGACTTGTTAATGATTGCCATTCTAACTGGCGTGAGATGGTATCTCATTGTGGTTTTGATTTGCATTTCTCTAATGATCAGTAATGATGAGCTTTTTTTTTTCAGTGTGTTGGCTGCATAAATATCTTCTTTTGAGAAGTGTCTGTTCATATCCTTTGGCCACTTTTTGATGGGGTTGCTTGTGTTTAATTTGTTTAAGTTCTTTAAGTTCTTTATAGATTCTGGATATTAGCCCTTTATCAGATGGATACATTGCAAAGCTTTTCTCCCATTCTGTAGGTTGCCTGTTCACTCTGATGATGCTTTCTTTTGCTGTGTAGAAGCTCTTTGGTTTAATTAGATCCCATTTGTCAACTTTGAATTTAGCTTATTTTATCTATTGCAAGGATACAGTATCTTAAGGAGATTGTTATACGACATAATTTTCCTTTTGTAAGTCTAGAAAGACTTAAACAATTTTTCATATTAGAAACAATTGTGCTTTTCCTGAACAATTAGCTTGCTTTTTCTTTATGGGTACTGTGGATTGTGTAACTGATTAGGCTTACCTTTTTTGTATAGAGTCATGGGATGAATAGATACCAGTTTGTGATGTGACTGTTGCAGTTATATGGAATGTCACACACTTCAGTAAATTTAGATATTAACTTCATTCTTGGCTCCATTATATTTTGTTATCCTGGCTTTTCTCTCTCTTTATCTTGCTTTTTTTTTCTTTCCTTCTTTCTTTCAAATTATCCTGTCTTCCTCATTTGCATCATATGTATTCTTTTAAGCTACCTTGTCATTATTTGAAATTACATTAAGTATATATACACACAAATATATATATGAATGTAAATTCCTAAAATGAATTTAGATTTTAAAAGAGCTATCTGTAAAGTAAGCTTCTAAAACAACTTCCTTTGAAGTTCTTTGTTTGCTATTAGTGTTATATTTTGCTTCAGGACATTAAGCAAGATTTTGTTAGATTCCTATTTCCTTTCAAGTTTAGTTCAACAATTATATTACAGCCTAGTTAGACATGGATGTGGTTAATATTTTCAGTCGATGTAATCTTTTACTCAAATAAAACACTTGTGATGTTATAGACATTGTAATCCCATGTACAGGGCTATGAGTAAAGTTATAATGAACTTTGTAACTATAAGACTCAACTCCAGAAAACGTGAGGGAAGGACATAAAGCACTCACGTTTTTATGTGAGTAACGAATACCTACTCTAAAAATGTATATTGACATTGGACTTCATATTCTAAACTACAAATGGTAGGTGGTATAGCATAGTGGTTAAGGACACGAAAATGTAAAGGGTAGGTTGTACAGTAGAGTGACTAAGGGTACAGACTGAAGCTAGACCTCTTCAGATTGACAAATTGGCCATTTGACATAGAGAAAATTATTTAACCTCTCTGTGCCTTAGTTACATTATCTGTAATATAGGGAGCAATAATAGTACCTACCTCTTGGGGTTGTAATCTCTGACATGTAGTAAGCATCTAGTGAGTCTCAGTTATTACTGTTTTTAACATATGGTATAATATCTCAGAATGTATGTTGTTGATTTTAATTTTTAGGTCTCTTGCAGCTGAATGGGGTAAATATGGAATGCGATTCAATGTGATTCAACCAGGGCCTATAAAAACCAAAGTAAGTTGTATTTTGCTTGTTATCACATTGTGAATGATTAAATAATGAAACACTGATAGATATATTCTGGTTGTTGTGTAAAGGACTTTCCAGAGATGCCTGGGTTTAGAGCCCTGGTTCTAAGGAAGAGGCCTTTGCCTTTATTCATTATCGAAAATAAGAAATAAGGAGGCGGGCAGGAATATAGCAGCTGTGCAATTTCTTCATAATGTCAATTTCAGTGTCTTAATCTTTTGGGATCTTTTATGCCATCAGTGTTGGCACTTTATCTGATTTGCTTCAGTGGTTATTGTCCTGTATTTGTTAACTTTCACGACATTTTAAAGGCTCTTACATTGTCTGACGTCCTTTTTTAAAAAAAAATCAAGGAAATGTAACTATATTTATAGTTTGAGAGATGCTCCAGTAACTTATTATACAGTCTTTGTCTTGCTATAGGTAGGTAGCATTTTCCTTGACTCATGCTTGTGCCCTTTCACTCTCAGTCAATTATGCATGTCATCTAACGCCCACATCTCTCTCATTATGAATCCTTCTGACAGCATGGATTTCACCTGTAAGTAATAATCCTTGCAGATACTCATTGCAACTTGTAATTATCTCTAATGTTGTCACAGATGTTGCTCAGAATGTCCACAGCTTTTCTGCTCTCTCATTATTCCAAAATAGCTTCACCCTCACACTTCTCTTAGTTTTTACCTAAAGCAGGTATTTATAATGCCAACCAGATGTAATGTTGAAAGGTCAGGCAAAATTTGGTAACTTGTTTCAGTTGTGTAAACATATTGGAAAATAATACTAAGGGATATTTGGGTTATAGGTAACTCTGGGTATTAAGTAATAACTTGGAAATGTCCATATTAGTTTATTTAGCAGTTTCAAGGATGGGAAATAGAAATAAAAGCTTCCTGAGTGATTGCAACTTGATTGACTATCGTATTTATCTGACAATTCAATACTAAACAGTCTAATACAGTTAGTGGAAAGAAACTTAAAAACATAACATTAAAACACATGATTCAGGGTGGCCCTGTCCTAAGCATATCTGAAAAGAGGCTTATAGACACAAATGCTTCTCTCCAGGATACCAATATCTAGGGAAAAATCACCTGCGTTTTATTTATTTATTTAACCTATCTTTATTGACTGTTCACTGTATGCAAGGGTACTGAGAAAGATATAGAAATATCTCTAAGAAAGTGCTTACCACTAAGTTTATAGTCTAGCCACTGAGATAGGAGTTGTACCCAAATAATAACTATTTACTGTTAAAGAGATTAAAAGAAAACTGAAGTGTAGAAACTCCCTAGCATGCACTTTTTAGAACCAGGATTGGGACCAGTTGCTACCCCTTGTCTCTGGGCTTTATACCCTCCTGGGAAGAACTGGAGGTCTCTCATGGAGTCCTCTGAGTGTTTGTTCTGTCTTCTGGCCGCGTTATTGAGGAAAACTGTCACCTAAACTTCAAGGCACTAGTATAGAAAAATCCAGTTGTTTTTATTAATCAGTGCACATCCATAATTCATCTTGGTTTGTTCCTTCACATCACTGACAGAAAGCAAATTGTTTGGCAAATTTAGTTATAGTTTTTCTCTGTCTAGAATCTACTTGAATTTCTACATCCTTGTTTTCTTCCTTTTCTAATATTTTGGGATGAAAGAAAAGGAATTTCCTCTTAAATATTTCCTATGAGCCACTTTTCTGTGTTTATTAAATGAAAAGCCAGTAATACCACTGCCTTTACCACCTAAGCTTGTACATATTTCAGAGTACCTTTATATACATTTTTTCATTTGATGCTTATAACAGTTTTGTGAGGTAGCTAAGATAGATATCCTCATTTTACATAGAAGAAACTAAGATTAAAAGGGTTATATCTTCCAGTGATCTATTTTTTTTTTTTAAAGAAGAATTTGGTGAAATTGTTTTTTACTTACAAAGCCTGAGGTTTTAAGCTGCCTGGTAGCATGCCATTTTATACACATTTTTTTCTTAAGTAGGAAAGGAGTTGATTGAAAAACCCAACACAACCCAATTGTTTTCTTAATTTCTAAGGGTGCCTTTAGCCGTCTGGACCCAGCTGGAACATTTGAGAAAGAAATGATTGACAGAATTCCCTGTGGTCGCCTGGGGACTATAGAAGAACTCGCAAATCTTGCTGCTTTCCTTTGTAGTGATTATGCTTCTTGGATTAATGGAGCGGTAAGCATTGTTTATTTCTTTTCACTTTTTTTTCCAGGAGTGTGTTTGGGGCAGGGAAGTCTGTTCTGGAACCAATCCTGACAATGCTAAATGTAAATATGATTTAAAATACGTATTTAGCTGTAAATAATATAAAAATACTATGTATATTGTTTAAACTATAACATTTATTCAGTGATGTATTAGTCCGTTCTCACACTGCTAAAGACATACCTGCGACTGTAATTTAGAAAGAAAAGAGGTATAAGGGAAGCGCAAGGAGTCAGGGAATTCCCTTTCCTAACAAAGGGAAGCCCTGACAGATGGTACCTGGAAAATTGGAACACTCCCACCCTAATACTGCACTTTTTCAATGGTCTTAGCAAACGGCCCACCAGGAGATTATATCCCGCACCTGGCTTGGACGGTCCTATGCCCACAGAACCTCACTCACTGCTGGCACAGCAATCTGAGATCAAAATGCAAGGCCACAGCAAGATTGGGGGAGGAGCATGTGCCAATGCTGAGGCTTGAGTAGGTAAACAAAGTGGCCCGGAAGCTCGAACTGGGTGGAGCCCACCAGCTCAGAGAGGCCTGCCTGCCTCTGTAGACTCCACCTCTGAGGGCAGGGCATAGCTGAATAAAAGGCAGCAGAAACTTCTGCAGACTTAAAGGCCCCTGTCTGACAGCTTTCAAGAGAGTAGTGGTTCTCCCAGCACGGAGTTTGAGATCTGAGAACGGACAGACTGCCCCCGCAAGTGGGTCCCTGACCCCTGAGTAGCCTAACTGGGAGACACCTCCCAATAGGGGCCGACTGAAACCTCATAAAGCCAGGTCCGCTCTGAGACAAAGCTTCCAGAGGAACGATCGGGCAGCAACATTTGCCGTTCTGCAATATTTGCTGTTCTGTAGCCTCCACTGGTGATACCCAGGCAAACAGCATCTGGAGTGGACCTCCAGCACACTCCAGCAAACTCCAGCAAAACAGACCTGCAGCTGAGGGTCCTGACAGAGGGAAAACTAACAAACAGAAAGGACATCCACACCAAAACCCCATCTGTGTAGCACCATCATTAAAGACCAAATGTAGACAAAACCTCAAAGATGGGGAGAAACAAGAGCAGAAAAGCTGAAAATTCTAAAAATTAGAGCAGCTCTTCTCCTCCAAAGGAATGCAGCTCCTCGCCAGCAATGAAACAAAGCTGGATGCAGAATGACCTTGACGAGTTGAGAGAAGAAGGCATTAGACGATCAGTAATAACAAACTCCTCCAAGCTAAAGGAAGATGTTCAAACCCATTGCAAAGAAGCTAAAAACCTTGAAAGAACATTAGACAAATGGCAAGCTAGAATAAATAGCATAGAGAACACCTTAAATGACCTGATGCAGCTGAAAACCGTGGCATGAGAACTACGTGACACATGCACAAGCTTCAGTAGCTGATTTGATCAAGTGGAAGAAAGGGTATCAGTGATTAAAGATCAAATGAATGAAATGAAGCGAGAAGAGAAGTTTAGAGAAAAAAGAGTAAAACGAAACAAACAAAGCCTCCAAGAAATATGGGACTATGAGAAAAGACCAAATCTACATCTGATTGGTGTACCTGAAAGTGACGGGGAGAATGGAACCAAGCTGGAAAACACTCTTCAGGATATGACCCCAACCTACCAAGGCAGGCCAACATTCAAATTCAGGAAATACCGAGAACGCCACAAAGATACTCCTCGAGAAGAGCAACTCCAAGAC